GTGTGCAATAGTGTCATGACTGTTATGGGGTAACTAACTGTTTTCTAATTGGATCAGAGGCCTGCTCCACAAGAGGGAATTCTATGCTGGTGCTATAATTCTGGTCAAAAGTTAATGGCTGGAAGATCATAGACCCCATGTTGGAACCTGCTACAGTTGTTTTGCTAAATGGTCATACTGTCGAAGTGGCTTCAAAATATTTATGTTTATATCTATAAACTTGAGCTGCTCTCAGACCTGATCAGAGAAGCTTCCTTTGGCAGTGGACAGAAATCAAGGCACAGACTCCTAACTTGTGAAAGTGCTGAGAGTAAAAGACTAAGTGTTCAACCACGAATGGGCGATCTTCATCAACCCTCCACCCCACCAAAGCTCAGGAAACATCTTGGAAGAGGTGGAGGATGGGGAAGAGAGCACTGAGAAGAGGACATGACATGGCTGTTGCAGTCATAAACCCACAGTTGTAGTAGTTACCTCCTTAAGACCAAACAGCAAGCTGCAAAGCAGCATGCCAGCCAATATTCCAACGCAGTTGGGTGGGGGCATGGTCTCCAGGGTTCACCCATTCCTGAGGAGCAATTGGCGGTTGGTACCTGCTGGGCGAGGGAGAATCATTCTTCTCTGAGGGTGTAAACACGACTAGGTTTCCAATGCTGCCTTGGATGGCCCCATAGCTATGCACGTAAGGGCAGCACTAAGTTGACTTACTGAATTATCAAAAAATAGAAAATGAATGAAGTTAGGATGGGGATGTTTGGGGGAGGATGGGGGGAGTTGGAAGGAGATATGGGGTGTGGGGGTGTACATGATTGTATTTCATTGCATAAATCTATGGAATCCTCAAAGAATTTATTTAAAGAAAAAAGAAATCTTACCAAACCACTATTCACTGTCTTGTCTTGCTCTGTTTATCTGATGTTATCTGTTCAAGTTCCTCCATGGGAAGCCCAAGACATGTCTACTGTGTGGCTCAAAGGGGAAGTTCAGTAAAGAGTCATGGGAAAGACATGGCCAAGGACTCCTCACAGGCAAGGGGGATCCGGTGTTCTCTAGAATCAGCCCGGGAGAGGGGCATAAAAGCCAGCAGGCTTGCAGTCTATGGCCCTCCGTTCCAAGCACAAAGCTTCTGTTGGAGTTTCAGTGGAAACTCCTTCAAGACATGAGAAGACCTTGCAGGAAGGTTGAATCCCACTTTCTATGTCATACTTGCTTGAATATTCTCCACGCCCCCTTTTAATATGCAGCAGGCCCTCCCTCTCTCTCTCTCTCTCTCTCTCTCTCGCTCTCGCTCTCGCTCTCTCTCTTTCCACTCACACCATTCTCTTTAAGCCTTTCATCAGAGGCTACCTACAACTAACTTTCACCAGGCTGACTCTTGCTCAGCCTTCATATGAGGGCTTCTCCAACAAGTCCCCCAGAAGAAATGCCTGAGCATGGGCACCTCTGTGGTTCAGGCTGGAGTCCTGCCTCTGGTCACTCATAAGAGCCCCGTGGCTTCTGTGGGGGCCCAGCAACTGTGCTTCCCATTTGTCTGCACGCCTTGCTAAGCCATGAACTACTAAACTTACCAATGCATCTTTGGCATAGAGGAGGCCCTCAAGTAACTGCATTGAGCAAAGGATTCACATCATGAAAGAGTGAACGTAGTGATAGATGGATATGTGGAAAACTGCCTCCTATTTCAAGTTTGGCATTCAAGGTTGTGCCTCTTCCCAGGCAGTGGAGACCAGGCTTTGAGGACACCTTGCATCCGTCACAGCCCTCCCTCCATCTCATCGTAATAACAGGTGACTCCTTGAGTTCCCTGAGACCTGACTTCACACTCATCTGTGAGCTCCTCTCCAGAGCCCACGGAAGTCACTGAGAGGGTGGCGGGAACTGTTGACATGGTAGGATTTTCTCCCACTGTGTTTTTCCATGTTCTTTGCACATTACCTGCTTTCAACTTGCCACTGAGATCATAACTAGACTCCGATCTGGATTTAGGCGCGTAGCCACTGCCTTGAGTTTATTTAGCTCATGAACAACAAATTCCAAATAATCTCAGGGTTAGTAATTTTTTTATTTCTAAGTAGTTTGGTGAGACTTAACAAATCATACAAACAAAACCCAAAAATAGAACAGAGAATGGAGACATCCTAGATTGTATCTTGGGCAGGCTTTTGTTTATCTTTTTTATAACCAATAATAGAATGTCCATGTTTTACATTATACATATATATTATGTATATCTATATATTATATATAGTATATATAATTTATACTTTAATAGAAAGACATAAAAAAGCCTTTGCAAATGAGGCATGACATACAACACTTGACACTCTTATTTACAGTACAGGAGTACACTTTCTACATGATGATGATAGGTTCTCAGAGGCCAGAGAGAGTTTACAAAGACAGCAGGACACCCCCATAAAAAGGAGGTGTTCATGCAGCTGGACTGGTATTGCCATTAGTTCTGTGTCCAGACAGCATATTGAAGGTAAAAATGATGTCTGGTTATTGGAAAGATGGTGATGATTAGATTCATCCCAGCTTCATAAGCACTGGCTACACAGGCTTTCAGACGACCAGGGGATGAAACATGAAATGTGCCCATCAGATGGGCAGGGCTCCTCTTAGAGCCAGAAAGGAGAACTTGCTACAAGCTGGCCATCCTGTGCTGAGCAGGAGCATTATGTGAGTCGGGAGACCCAGGGTCAGGGTTGCATGACTAGGAAACAAATGTTCTGTCCAGGTAACAAAGCACCCAAAAATAGAACAGAGAATGGAGACATCCTAGATTGTATCTTGGGCAGGCTTTTGTTTATCTTTTTTATAACCAATAATAGAATGTCCATGTTTTACATTATACATATATATTATGTATATCTATATATTATATATAGTATATATAATTTATACTTTAATAGAAAGACATAAAAAAGCCTTTGCAAATGAGGCATGACATACAACACTTGACACTCTTATTTACAGTACAGGAGTACACTTTCTACATGATGATGATAGGTTCTCAGAGGCCAGAGAGAGTTTACAAAGACAGCAGGACACCCCCATAAAAAGGAGGTGTTCATGCAGCTGGACTGGTATTGCCATTAGTTCTGTGTCCAGACAGCATATTGAAGGTAAAAATGATGTCTGGTTATTGGAAAGATGGTGATGATTAGATTCATCCCAGCTTCATAAGCACTGGCTACACAGGCTTTCAGACGACCAGGGGATGAAACATGAAATGTGCCCATCAGATGGGCAGGGCTCCTCTTAGAGCCAGAAAGGAGAACTTGCTACAAGCTGGCCGTCCTGTGCTGAGCAGGAGCATTATCTGAGTCGGGAGACCCAGGGTCAGGGTTGCATGACTAGGAAACAAATGTTCTGTCCAGGTAACAAAGCCAACATCTTTGTCACTGAGTAGTATGAGTCTATGACTCAGTAACTCAGGGGGGAAAAAACACCCAATGAGAAATGCATGCCTTAAGACCGGGGTATAAGAAAATTCAGAAAAGACCTACAGAGAAACCCTAAAGTCACGATGCAGACGTCTGCCTTTGCAGACTATGCAGGCCCCTACCGCCATCACCCACAAGTATACAGTCCTGTAAAGTGCCTGTCTGGATTCACTTCCCATGGTGAACACTTCATGTGTGTGCATCCTTGATTCTGACATGAGCCCAGACTCCTTTGGCTTTCTTCCCGTGGGATATGTGACCTGGAAGGCTGGTCCAGGTGCTCAGGGCAGACAGGTTTCCACAGTGTGTGGGGACCTTCTGCAGGTACCTGGACTCTCAGCTCCAGAGATGTGCATCCTTGATTCTGACATGAGCCCAGACTCCTTTGGCTTTCTTCCCATGGGATATGTGACCTGGAAGGCTGGTCCAGGTGCTCAGGGCAGACAGGTTTCCACAGTGTGTGGGGACCTTCTGCAGGTACCTGGACTCTCAGCTCCAGAGGGCCAGACTCCAGTGTGAGCCATCCCTCCTGCTCTGGTTCATGCACTCCTTCTGTACAGCTAAACGATTCATCGTCTGCTTGAAGACTGCAAAATGTGCATTAGTCTTTGGGACCATTTTAAATATTCTGGCCATTTTCAAAACATCTGTGTAGTCACTTACCAATAACACTTCAAGTTGGGTCTTCAGTCTGGCTTTTGTTCTCCATTCTGACCTCACTTTTACCTCTGCTCTCTGTTAGTGTTTATCAGTGGTGGCCTTTCCTAGCCCTTTATTTTCCTAAGGCAAGAAGACATTACTATTGAAAGAAAACCAGCACCCTTCTAAGAGCTCCCCTGAGGTGGTTTTATCTAACATGCCTCTGTTTGGATGTCTTTCTCCTTCCAGGGAGAGAAGAAACCACTGGCCACATTAAAGGTTTTAATTTTTTTTTTTGTGTCCATGGATACCAAGCACAGGTTTACCAGCAGCACCACCTTTTTCCAGTCTTTCCTTACATCACCCACCCACAGCTGTTGTAAAATGAAACGGGGGTTTATCACACGTTCCTTTGTACTTCGTTTAGAAGACATGAAGAGAGAATGGGAGTGTGGATATTAGAATTCTTTGTACAAGTGGCACATTTGAATCTATTAAGGATTCTATTTACACAAATGTGTTCCACTTCCGCACAGAGGTTAACCTGAGTTCTGAAATGTTCATATGCACTTAATTGAATCAAAATGATAAAGCTATGATCTAGTAACTTATTGGGAAAATCTAGTTAGGTTGGAGCTGTGTCAGTGAGCCATGGTTGCTATAAAAGTGGCTCACGAGCTCCAAGTGTTCCGTTTATTTGCTCGTATTTCCCTTAGAAAGTATCTTGAAGGAGAAGCCAGGTGGCTAGACAATTTCAAGCAAGCACTGTTTTCTTTCACAATATTTGTTCAGCTTTTTCCTAAGTCTAAATTGAAAGCATCGCTATTATCCGGTCCCACCCGAGCCTCACGCTTCCACACCCTCTCTTCTGTTACTCCACCCTGGAAATAGGTTAGTTGGAGCTGTGTCAGTGAGCCATGGTTGCTATAAAAGTGGCTCACGAACTCCAAGTGTTCCGTTTATTTGCTCGTATTTCCCTTAGAAAGTATCTTGAAGGAGAAGCCAGGTGGCTAGACAATTTCAAGCAAGCACTGTTTTCTTTCACAATATTTGTTCAGCTTTTTCCTAAGTCTAAATTGAAAGCATCGCTATTATCCGGTCGCACCCAAGCCTCACCCTTCCACACCCTCTCTTCTGTTACTCCACCCTGGAAATAGGTTGCAGACAGCATGTCCTGCTAAGAACTCAACTGACTTTAAAGGGTTCCGGCCAGTCCCCAGGCTTCTCCCTCACAGTCACTACTTAAAATAGTTGAGTCCTGCCACCAAGAAAAACTTCTCTAGAAAGAGTTCTGAATCCAACACAGCGATGTGAGCTGCTCGGCCAATCAGGGTGTTGGCAGTGTTGGGCAGAGCGTGGAACACATTATGTCTGATCAAAGTGCAGTCCTTGGCTTCCGCCAGAGGGCCCAGCAGGTTGTTGATCATTTCTGCGTAGACAGGCCCTGGAAGGGGAAAGGAGGAGAAAGGACACTGTGGAGCTGAGCAGTGGACTCTGGAGAACAAGTTTGCACGTGTGTCGGCAAAGGAGTCCTTCAAAGACTAGTTTCCCAGCTCACCTGAGTGTGCGTGACATAAAGAAGAAATCCGATCAAAGTAAACCAGTCACGGTAGCAGACATTTAACAACACCATGTATTGCAGACGCCAAGTGGCATTTCACAGGTCCCCTGATTCCAAGAACAAGAGGATGGTGATGTGGGGTTTGTCATTGGGTTGTTTTATCTTTCTAGGTAAAGTCTCAGTTAATTGTGTTTCTACCTGAGACGTGACACAGTTGAAGATTTTCCTCAGATAGTGGAGGGTGTTGAGACCTACAGTCATAGCAAGTCACTGTGTAATGTGCAAGGTGTGCAGAAGAGTTTACTGTCCACACTTCTCTACCTGTGTTCTTCTGTCATCGTCACGACAAATTTAATGCTGTGTAGACATACCTGCTGGAATGGTGGTGAGGACCAAGTTGCCTTACTGACCCAGCAGGGAGACAATCACCACAGACTGAGACACAGGCCTCGAGGGGCCCACTCCAATGAACACGGTTTGAGTCTTACAGCCAGTCTGGGACTCACAGAGAGAGGGACAAGTCTGTTGAGTGCTCCCATCAGTCACTCCTCACTCTAGACACTGCTGCACCCCACATGAACATTCCCATACTCCTTTCCTCTCCCCTTAACATATCAGCAGGGGAGACCACTCGGGGTTCTGTTTTCCTATGCTGAGAGGGGTGCCGGCTGGTGCCCTCTCCCAAGAACCCACCAGTCTCCTCTTCCCAGCCATTTCACAGGAATTACAGGCATGTGCAGCTATGCCTCACTTTGGAAGTGAATGTGGGAGATCTGAACTCAGGTTTTCATGATTGTACAGCAAGGTGAAACTATCTTCAAAGCCCTGAAAACTTACAACTTGTAAGTTGGCACATGCATACAAAGAGAATAGAAGGAAAAGATGAGGACATAAGAAGCAGTAAAGAAAGAAGTAATTATTATCATAATTTTTATTTAGTCATTTTTGACAGGGTCTCTCTTACCCCATTTGGATCTCAGTATGTAGACCAGGCTGGCCTCAGTCTCACAGAAATCCACCTGCTTCTGTCTCCCGAGTGCTGGGGTTAAAGGCATATACCACCATGCCCAGCATCATTATCATAATTTAATAAAATACATTTGATTTTTCCAAATGTTCTGCAAATGAATTTTTTTTTAAGATTTAGTTTATCTATGTGTATTTATGTGCCTTTGTGCAGATGACTGAGGAGGCCAGAAGAGGGCACCAGATCCCCTGGGGCTGGATTTGCATGCAGTTGTGAGCTGCCTGATGTGGGTCCTCTGGTCGTGTAACACGGACATAAGCTACCCAATCAAAGTAAATGAGGTGTGTCAGGCCACCTCCTGCCTCTGGCTGCCCAGGAAATGCCTCCCTCAGGTGCCATGTCAATGGTGCCCTCACACAATCCACCCTCCGCTCCACTTCACTCCTGAGTCACAACAAAATGTCATATGCTATTTTATGTTCTGGTGTATAGGACTATGGCCTTAGCCCTGTTGCTTACTTGATGATCTAACCAGCCCATTAGCCACTGAGGGCAGAGTCTGCAGCAGTGTGTACAACTCCCAAGTTCTACATCCATCCTTCTGTTTCACAGCTTACACAGGAAAGGAGTCTAACAGTTCCAGCATCCAGCAAATCCTGAAGTGTTGACTATGTGAAGGAAATAGCATACACACGGACAATAACATCCATGTGTACACTCACCCACCTGTCCCACCACTTAATTCTAGAATAAATGTAGCAATGTGTTACCCCTGAGTCCGGCTGCTCCTGATAATTTTACTTCATTTCAAAACTTCATTTTTACTTCCTAAATCAGAAAGTCCCTTGAGGGGCTGGAGAGATGGCTCAGTGGTTAAGAACACTGACTGTTCTTGCAGAGGACCGGGTTTGTTTCCAGCACCCATATGGCAGCTAACGACTGTCTGTAACTCCAGTTCCAGGGGTCCGACAGCCTCTTCTGTCCTCCATGGGCATTGTATGACATGGGTGTACTTACCTACATGCAGGCATAACACTCATACATATAAAATAAAACTAATATTTTTTAAAGAAGAAAGTCTCTTGATAAAGTAAATGCAGCTTACCTGTGTGTCTGTCTTTCAGGGCAGTTTTACACATTTCGATCCTGGCTGAGTGAAATGGCACATAACGGTCTTGGGGAGAAGCAACCAGAACAACGTTTTTAAAATACTGCAGCCCTGTAACAAGAAGTTACATGAGTGTTTTCTGCCCAGGTCATTGAGAAGGAAAGGTCCTCTGGTTTGTACACATGATGAACTCTTCCCCAGAGAAGAACAAGGCAAGGAGCCACTGTACACAGTGCTGGGCCCTTGCATAGGGGCCTATGTTCTAAGATTTCTCCATGCACAGCTCAGGACAGAGGCACAGCAGGGGGAGGTGGGGTGAGAACTCAACTCACTGGGATTTTGTGTTTGGGGGCTTTCCTCTGGAGTCAGGGAAGCAAAGTAGGCTCACAGCAAATGACTCTGACCACCAAGGAAAATGCTAAATGACCACAGTGGGACCGAAACATGCCCTGTGTCAGCTGCTGAGGGAGCCACCCACCTGTTTTTTGGCTTAGTTGGTAGAGGAAACACTTCCGCAAGTCAGCATTATCCCTGAAGGTCAGCTGCAAAAGGGACCCAGATTTCTTCAATTTCTGCATGAGCCACAAGCCTAGGAAGAAAAAGAATAAGACAAAGATAGAAAGTACAATAACGAAAAGCCAAAGGAAACATTTTCAGGATGCTTAAAACAAAGAGCACAGCAGTTAGTAAATAATGGAAAATGGAGTGGAATTCGCTTCCTTGGTTTGGTGTATGTTTATGTGTGTATTGTTCATGTGCACGTATGATCTATGCACACACTTCTGTTCTGGTGGGCATGTCCAGAGAGGACATCAGGTGCCTGTTCCCTCACCATCTCATTCCCGAGACAGAGCTGGTCTCAGCTGGCAGCCAGCAACCCCAGCAATCCTCCTATTCCTTCTCCCTTCCCCAAACAGCACTGGAGTTACAGCCACATATGGACACACCCAGCTTCCATGTGTCTTCCAGGGACTTGAACTCAAGTCCTCAAACTTGTTCAGTAAAGGCACTTACTCATGGAACCATCTCCTCCATCTCTAAATTTGTATTGTTGTGTACTGTAGCAGAAACAGAACAGTCCTGCAAAGTCCTATTACAACAAGCTTCTCAACGTACAGAACTGTGTGTGTGCTCTAGTATTTATTCAGTCTTCTTCTGTAAAGGAATCCAAAGGAAGATGACCTGATACAAAACTAGGTAAGAATGTTCTGGAAAAGTCCACACTGGATACTTGAAAGCCAGAAGAATATACACCTATCTTGAAACTTGTTTATGCAGATACTCACATGGGTATACTGGGCAACAACACATGAATGTGGTAACAACATTAGGACACAAGCCAGATTTATGTGTGTGTGTGTGTGTGTGTGTGTGTGTGTGTGTGTATCACAGTGGCTAACATGTAAATGCCTACTGTGTAGAAATAAGTGGAATTAGTTTTATGAAATACTCTAGATATGCTAGGTTGAGTTAAAATCTCTTTTAAAAACCTTTTGTGGGGCCGGAGAATTGGCTCAGGGGTAAAGAGCACTGGCTGCTCTTTCAGAGGACCTGGGTCGACTGCCAACACCAACGTGGAAGCTAACAACCATCCCTAACTCCAGTTCCAGGGGATCCAATGCCCTCTTCTGACCTTCACAGACATTTCATGACATGGGCGCACTTATATACATGTAGGCAACACACTAATGCATATAAAATTAAAACAATAAATAAAATATAAAAAAAAACTTTTATAAAGCTTCAAGTTTATGACTCTAAAGGGGAGAATCAACTTAACAACTTAATCAATTTGTCTCTGTCCCAAGAAAGCTTCTAGGTTTGTGCAGAAGAAAAGACTCTGTTACGTATCAAAGCACCAAATAAATCATAAGTAGAGAGAGTGTCCTAAAAATAACCAGAGCTTAATCTTGAATCTGATTCACATCCTGAAGAGTGACTGTGGGAATGTAAGCTGAGGGAGGACGGGAGGATAGGCCAGGGCCACAAGTTCTTTAGAGGTGACTTTGACACCACAGATACATTTAAACAATCAGGAGTCATAGAGTTCCCAGGAGCAATATGGCGACTATTTCTTAACCATTTATATATCTTCTTTTGAGAACTCCACTGAGTTCCTCAGCTAATTTTTAGTTGGCTTGTTTGATTTCTTAGGTCTTTTTGAGGTCTTTGTACTCTAGACACTAATCCTCTGTCAGATGTACAGCTTGCAGCATTTTTTTTTTCATTCTGTAGAGCATGATGGTAGATTGGGAGGAGTTAGGTGGAGGAGTTGGGGTGAATATGTATACATGTGTGTAATTCTCAAATAAGAAAATATATTTTAAAATGGAATATGATTTATTACGTCAATATTACTGTACATGAACCAATATCCTGCATGTGTTTCTGAACATGAAGCCAGGCCACCTCCTCAGCTAATACCCATGAAAACTACACGGTGTGCAGATGCATTCAGCATCTTCCTACACCCATGTGGGTCCTTCACCATCCGGCTGTCACCAGGCACCCACCCGCCCTCCCTTCCCCTTGGTGGAGAGCTATGCTTCTGTCACTGAAAAGCGTTTCAGTTTGCTGACTGAACCAACCTTGCAGGCTTTACATATGTCATTTCTTTTGATACAGAAAAGTCTTCCTACTGTTTGCTACTTTGGAAATTCTGTTCTTGTTCCAAAAGACATTGAGCCTTCTCTCCCTCCTCTGTCTCCATTTCTTCCACGTTCTCCTCCTTTTCCTCCTCCTCCTTTTTCTTTCCTCCCCTTCTTTCTTCTCCTCCTTCGGCTTCCTTCTTCCCTCCCTTTTTCCTTCCTTCCTTCTCTTCTGTGCTGCTGGGGACCACACTTATGCACACTAGGTACGCACTGCACCACTGAGTTACATCCAAAGTCCATACCTTGTTTCTTTACCCCCTGCACTGTCCTTGCTCACAAAACTGTGAGCAAGCAGGAGAGAATCCAACTGTACATGCTTTGTAATTTTCCTTTCTAATTCTTAACATGCATTCAGTCACTTACATACAACTGTGAGTGAGTACATGCGCAAACACAGGAAAGTACAAATACACGTATGTATGCACACACAGTCAGATCTCTGTATAGGTGAGTTCCTCATCTGCTGGGTCAACCTATCAGGAATCAAAAATATTTTTCAACCCTTGATCCTGTACTGAACTTGTGCAGACTCTTTTCTAGACACTAAACAACATTCTATCTCAATTACTTGTGTGGCACCTGTATTTTCTTAGGTGCTATATGTAGTCTACAGATGATGAAAGTGTTCAGGAGGGTCTGTGTAGGTTACATGCAAATACTAGGACACTTTAGGACACTTTATCTGAGACACTTAAGACATCTATTTTCAGAATCTGTGGGGGTCATGGAGTCAGTCAGAAAGATACCCAAGGATGGCTGTGTACACACACACACACACACACACACACACACACACCACATTCATGGTTACACACATCACACAAAGGCTTACACACATTTCAAGTGTAGATTTACAAACACTTTACATGAATGCTCACACATAAAAAACTAGCTACATACTCACACACGTCACATACATGGTTGGCATATATTGCTTGCGTGTTTCTGTGTACCTGACATGCATGTTTATGCATTCATACATAAGTGTTTACACAATACATATAATATACCCTTTATTAGCATATGTACCATAAACATATACATACAAACATGCATGTAGGTCTCAAGGTCTCCATTTCACAGGAAGCAAGTGAGAATCACGGGGTGAACTGCCATACCAGCTCCTTCCCAGAGACCCTGTCCCTCATGCACTAATGTGAGTCAAAGCCCGTCTTCTTTTTTGTTATTGTGCCTTGCTAATCTTTTATAACCTCTTAGTTCTCAGAAACTGAAAAGAACTGATATTGGAAAACAGTGTCCTCTCCCTCATTTATTTATTTTTATTTATTTATTTATTTTCAACACATTTCATTTTTATTTTTTAAAAAAATAATTTCCAAAGTAATAGGTTTCCCCATGAAGTTTTCATGCACACTTCATACTTTGCTCTATTTAATTCCCTCCCATATCCATGAGAGCCCCCTCCTTTCCAGTCTCGTGGGCCCATTCCAGTTTCCCAGTCTTTCCCCAAATTTATTCCCACCTAGATACACAAATTTAACCAAGCCCCACACAAGTGTCAACATACAGTGCTTGGATTTCTGGGCCTGAGTTACCTTGCTTCATAGATTATTTTCGAGTTCCATTTGTTTTCCCGGAAATTTCATGATTTAATTTTCCTTTATAGATGAATAAAAATTCACTGGCTGCACGCACCATATTTCCGGACCCAGTCCCCACCCACAATCCCATGCTTGGTAGAGAACCCAAAATCTTAGAATTTCACCAAGAACTTTTGTCTCGTTTCAAGTTCCCGATGCCCCCAAATACTTTGGAGGCACAAGGAGGGTGAAGGGACCTCACCTGTACTGACCAGGGTGCTGTTGCTGTACAGAGTCCCCAGGTGGGGCCCAGACAGCGACAGGAACGTGTGGAGCTTGGTGAGGTAATACCGGAAGCGAGGCCTTGTGAGGACGGATCTGATGATAATGTTGCCAAGAGAATGGCCGATAAAGCTGTTCAGAGGCAGGAATGAGGCAGGTGAGTGACAGCAGAGGCCAGGTGCTTGGGTGGGTGGGGTGGGAGGCACCCAAACACCAGCACCCGCCACCTCCTGGCTGGTCCCCAGGCCTCCTCTCAGTCCATCCGGGCAGCAGCAGGGTGCTTCTTCCTGGAACCTGAATCTAAGTTCTGTGGTCTCCTGCTCACCTACAAGATGCACTTCCAAACCCTGAGCCTGGCCTCGCCATTCATTGCCTCACCTCTGATTACTGCCCCGATCCTGTTCACCCCTTCATCTCTACATGACTTGGCATCCCTCCTGCAGGCTCCAACCAGCTGTCCTGCTTTGTCCAGGCCCAGGGATTCAAGTATCATTCACTTTTCAATTAAGTAATTACATAATGAACCCCTTTAATGTGAGAGTGTGCTGCCTTACCGCTTCATACAATAAGCATAAAATCCAGCAAAGACATGGATGTAAGCCTATGAAACTGGATTACCTGGGCTGTGTCCTCTCATGGTTACCAAACCTCTATAGCCTTGAGAGTCCTCATTTGTAGAGTAAGTAATACTGTCTCTGGAGACTACAGAGACGAGCTGATACCAAGGGCATAGCCCTAGTAGGACACAGCTGTATGCTCACAGGGTACAGGCGACCACCCTTTCCCTGACACCTTTCAATATTTCAGCCAGACTTTTTGTTATATCATGAGGACAAATTTAGTGCTTACTGAAATCCTCTCATTGGACAAGAAATTCATTCATTAGTCTAACACATTTCTGGTGGTCCAATTAAAACTAAAAGCAAGTGCTGGCTCCAAGATTAAAATGTTTGTGAAAAGTTACACACCTGTAGGTATGTTAACATTAAAACGTGGATGGAAACGTGCCTACAGACTGTCACATTAAATTCAAGACTTTCTAATCAGGAAAATATTTGCTCTCCCTACCCATCCTATGAGAGATGTGGGTGTGATAAACCACCCTTGGTACTTACTCCCTGTCAGAAAGTAACCACCTTCGTTCAAAGTCAAAAATTATTACCCTGACTTATAGAAGTTTCTTAGAGCTCAGATACCACAGACACACACGACACCCGTCTTCCCTCAGCTTTAGCTGCCTGTTTCCCTTTTACCTAATTCGGGATATGGAGAGGTTATACAGCTGGATGTGCTGAATGATTTCATCCAACAGTCGATCTGTCATGGTATCAAAATCTGCAAATGTGTCCATCTAGAAGAAGACAGAGGGAGACCATGTTCAGAGAAGTCAAGGGCAAGGCGGGGCTCTGCACACACAATCTTCTTCCATTAAACAGGTTGACATTTTCTGGAAGGGCTAACTCTGATGCTGAGGTTGGAGGTTGGGATTTGAGTTCAGGACAAAGTCCCACTGGGGCTCTAATAAAGAAACCTTGGTTAACTAAAGAGTATTCTGTTAGGAGGATGAGGTGGACAAGCTGGGTAAGTGCACTGGGCATGTGGCAGCAGGGGTTCGCCATGTCTGTGTCCCCATTTAACAGAGGATGAAGCAGATGCAGGAAGGGGAGGCTAGTTGCTCACCTCCTGTGAACTAGGATTCATACAGAGACACGTTCAACTCTAAAGCACCTGCCTCTCACCAGCACAGCCTTTAGGTTATTCTGTAAGTTTGTGCCAGATATCAGCTTTGGAAGGGAGCGTTAAAGCCAATCTCGTCTTATGAAGAACAACAAAGGATAAAAGAGCAGAAAGAGAGCGGAAGTTCCATGTGTGTCTGAAGACTTGACGGCTTGTTAGATTGGTTTATATAACTTCAAGGTCTACATTTTGGTGATGTGGTTGGGGGCAACACAGAGCTAAATTTAAGGTCAAGATCTACAAATAAACATCCAAAAAAAAGTCCCTTCTAAGTAGAGTTGAGAGACGTTATCTTGAGAAGACTGAGCTACCAGCTAGGAAAGGGGAACAAGATTATGAACATTCCTCACAGTGGTGAAGGGGACACATTTGGAAAGAAGCACAAAGAGATGATCTTAAGTCCACTGCGTCTGTCATCCTGTGAACCCTGCAGCACATGAGGGACACAGCACGCTGGTGCTCTGTTAGTCTCTACGTGATAAGCTCTCATCCACAGCTCTGCCCCCAACCCCTGCGCCTCTCCCAAACCCCCATAGGTCTGTGCCTGACTCTGTGATTTCCCCAGCCTCAATCTGCATTTCCTTGACCCTTACAAATGGAGAATGCAGGGCATTCCTTCTCATCAAAGATTGATCAAAGTGTCTGCAACATATCTGACATGTATGCTGCTGTTAAATTGCTTATTTAACATATTAGTTATTATAGGATGGTTATGATAACGCAGATGAGTTTACATATGATGATAAATGTTCTGAAAATCAGAGTGGGTTACAAAATAATATCTGGAACTCCCACCAAAGGGTGCATTGATAGGAATATGCACTCTGCCCTGTTTATGAGATATTCTACTTTAAGCAGTGAAAATGCACAGCAGGACACAGTCAGCACTGAGTGGCCTGTCCCTCCAGGTACGTGACTTGTATGGAGACCTGGATCACGCACTGCTGTGGAATCTAGATGCAACCCAGCTGTCATGGGACACATCAGAGGGTAGCTGGTTGGACAACAAGGGCTTGATTCATGACCAGACCTTTCCTATTAACCACACTTCTCTCTCCTGAGGAGAAAACTTCATCAGAACAAACACAAGATCAAGAGCATCAGTCGATGGTTAGCCTATCATTTCTTCCATGAATGCCCTGGGCCACCTCTCTCAGGTGTGAGCAATTCTAAGCCAGATATTAAATTGTGTTCCAGAATCATGTATGACATGATGTATGGCATCCTTCTCTCCAGGTCAGATAGGATGGAGTCCTGTGGAAGTCTCCGTGGAGTCTCTAAAGAGCTGGCGCATTGATATGGTAGAGAGCTGCTGTGAGGATGGAGTGAGTTCCCTGGGACAGAGCTCCCTGGACGTAGTGATCCCCAGATGATGGTTTTCCTTACACTTCCTGACATGATACCTTTTCTCTGCATGCCACATGACCATGATCATAACGACAATAAAAGGCACACTATACATCAACAGTTGAGGAATGAGATACGATTCTTCAGCCTGTAAAAACATTTATTCAGTGTATGGGGAGAGGGCACATCAAGACACCTGTGTGGAGGTCAGAAGACAGCTTGGGAGAGCTGATTCTTGCCACTTTGTGGGTCCTGGGGACGGAACTCTCATTGTCAGGTTCGGCAGCATGAGCCTTTACCTCCTAAGCCATATGGCTGACCCGACTTTCCAGTTTTCTGTGTAACTATCACTATCACTAGACCTTTTGCTTATTAACAGTTCTGTTCCTTGAAAGGACACTTAATGCCTTGTTTATTGACCTCACGGTCTGTGGAGTGGAAACTGACAGCCACTCTCTAGTGAGCCTCAGTTTTTCATGCGTTCACCAACGTCTCTTTGATCCTAAATCTACCTTATGGCCCCAGCCTCCACCCTCCACTTCGGATTGTAAAGTAGTCACAGCCTGAGTCCTTAAGTTACATAGCTGCAGGTGCCAATGCCCTGCCCGTGTGACTCACGGATGCCAAGTAACTCATGTTTCAATCTACCGTGTTCTAATCTCCCACAAGCCAATTGACGAACATGTTAACTCATATATCACATTTCTCACTTCTTCCTCATAGTCCAAAAGGAATATAATATTTTTTTTCCAATTCATCCAAGTTCTCAGATAGTCTTCTACAAAATGCCGCCTTGCAGCATGTATCCATACATCAACCTGGTGCCTTTAGGAAAGTCTTTTATATCCAGTGTTCTCTCAGCCTGACATTTCCCTTATCATACCTGATTCTTCTCAGACATTAGGAAGTCCAGTTTTCCTCCAGGGAGCCCCAGTTCTATGAAAGTCTTTACCAGCCGGAGGTCTGCACTGTTCCCTGAAAATAACAGAGAGCCCCCCACCCCGGTCCTATAATCAGTCATACAGAAAGGAGACATAAGGGAGACCTTTCTCCCTTTGCTAGACATTGCAGTTGTATTTTCCAATTTTTTGAGCAGACAATAAAAATAACTGAAGTCCACTTCCTGTTCCCCTGCTGTCCCACTTCATGTGTGAACCCAAAGGTGAGTTCTGTTGAATGGCCCTCCCTCAATGGCAACATCCCTTGACCTGCCATTTGTGGCTTCTACATAATCTGTGCAGGATCAGCAGAAGGGATATCAGCTCTTTCCTCTTCAGCAAACTACCCATGCCAGACATTTCACAGGGAGCTGCCTAGTGACTGATGGGGCATAAAGTGACACCGAGAAATCCTCTGTTAAACTGCATGTCTATCATTTATAAGGAACTAGGAAGACCCTTCGAGAGGTCAAACACACAGTAGGGCTAACTAAAACTAGTAAGAATCACCTCTATGCCCAGGAATTGTGGATAAGCAAGTTCTGTGAATGGTAAGTGTTCCGTCAGGGCCAAGAAATTAAAGGTTAAGAATTCCAGGAAGCTGCTAGTTCCAGGGGCACAGAGAGCACAGAGACTGCATTCTCGACATGAAAAATCTGCTACAAAATGTGTTGGAGTTAATTGGCTACGTTGGGTGCATATTTCATGGTGTCCCTGGGGTTCATGGTTTCTAAGGTAACGTTTTATCTGTTCCTCTCCTGGACCACTGTGGAGTTGAAATGGAGAGAAGACTTACTCAGATCCTTGGAAAATCTGGTTAACTTATGAATAAATCCACAACTCACAGTTTCAAATAACTACAATAAGCTAAATCCCAACTGAGTTCATATCTCTTCATGAATTTCCCTAATGATTCAAAGGTGCATAAAAGAACCACATGAGCCTTGGAAGAACTCAAAGTTCAGGATTAATCCTGTTTTAATATTTCCAGAATCTGCCTGTTCTGAGACCTGCCATAGCTCGTGATCATACATTTATTCTCATAGTCAGGGAAAGGTCACATTTTTAGGGACGATGTGCATTTTCTCTTGTTATATTTTATCACTTCATTCATGTCAATAAAAATACGCAAAAAAATACGCTCTTTGGATTCTTGTGATTGCTTAAAGTTCCCCAATAGTCTTCTGGAAGGGGCCTTTTAAAAAGTTTATGACCATGGGTATTAGCACAAAGAGTTTGGGGATAAAATATCCTTCTCACCCAAAGCTATTGCGAGAAAAGCTTGTTTCTGGAACGCAAAACTTTATAAAACAATTTACTTTAATAATATATTAAAGCAAGAAAGTTTAAGGCATGGGTCTTTTGCACACATGAAGACCTCTGTAAATATTCATATTTCACATCCTTCAATGTGCTCAATTCTTACGTACAAATATAGACAGGGACACAAAAGCTGTCTCTGTTATCACTTTTAAAAACAATTGTATTGATATGTATGTGTGTGTTCCTGCATAAACATGTGCACCACATGGATGCAGGAGCCCACGGGGAGAGAGGAGGGCATTAGACTCCTTGAGCTGGAGTTAAAGATGGTTATGATTCACCATGTGGGTGCTGGGAACTGAACCAGGGTCCTGGGCAGGAGCAGTGGTCTTCACCACTGAGTCATCTCTGTAGCCCTACTTTTTGATTTGTGGCCCAGGTGACACTGTTACAGGCCTCTCAGTGCACTGACTCAGTGAGGCACTCATAAAACATTTTCGTTATATTGTTCTGTTAAAATATGCTTGAGGGAGCAAAGGAAAAGCCTGTTCCCTGACGATATTTCTTACTTTTATTATTTTTATTTATTTCTGTGTATGAGACAGAGTAAACGCCAGTGCTCTTGGAGGCCAGAGTTGGTCGTGAGATCCCTTGGAGTTGGACTTTCAGGTGGTTGTGAGCCACTTGATGTGGGTTCTGGGAACCGAATTCACTTGCTCTGGAAGAACAAGTGTTCTTCACCAATGACCATCGCTCCAGCCCCCACTTTTCTTACTTTGCTAAGAATGTTAGAGCCTTGCTAACTTGTAATGTGCCTCTCGAGTGAGAGGAATGGACCAGCCTTGAGTTACACGTTGCTGATGAATGTGGAGGTCATTCTGTTTCCCTGAAAACCCTAGACCCTGGTAGTGTCTAATGCTCCAAAGGTGAGAGGCGGACAAAACAGGCAGCAAAGGAGTTTTGGCCACTAGCCTGAGTTCCTTAAATGCATCCATTTATGCATCCCACGCCATGTCTTCCTTTGTTCAAAGCATTCTGTTGACCTGAGAATTCTATTAATTCCTACATTCCGGTCTCTGTGATTTCATTAGTATAGCCATTCCAACCACACACTCGGTTTTCACTCCCTCCAGACTTCTATTCCAAACACCCACTTCATCAATTATTCAGTCTCCTCCTTCACTCTGTGGATTGACCGGTTTCCATTTACATCACCAAATTAATTCACTCATTTATGCATTTCTGTCTTTCAAAAAGTACTCTGTACCAGAGCGAATTTCTTTTTGGACAATGCCATGCCATCCTTCCGGATAGTATCCCATTCATGACTGCTTTTGAATAAATTCCTGATCTAAATTAATTTATAAACATAAATTTCAATTAAGTTAATAATTTGAGAATGAAACTCTTTTAGAACTTACCATCCAAGCCATGGACACAGACCACCAGGTGAATGCCTTCTTCCAGGTCTCCTTCCTCTTCCTCTGGTGGGAAATATGGTACGTCAGAAGCCAGGACGGATAAGTCACTGTACAGAAACCCTTCGATCTTCAGTTCTTTTTTAAACTTTTCTTTGGCCTGATAAAAACTGGAGAATATACCAATTAATCACAAGCCAGGCTGTGACTCCACACTGAGCAGGGGCTGAGCAGGGCTGGTGTGAAAAGGTGATGAGTTTGAGAAGAAAATGCTGAAGGCTTGGGGTTGGAACTGTTTGGATTTCAGTTCTTTTCAGGTTTGGGGTATTTATACACTCATATTGAGACATCTTGATGATGGACTTGTCTAAATATGGAATTGTTTCGTTTCACATAGACCTTACACGCATTACCTGAAGCCAATTTAATATATTTTTACTAATGTTGAGAATGCAACGTGTGAAATTGTCCACTTGTGCTGTCATGACTGTGCTCAGAATATTTTAGATTTTAAAAGGACAAATACATAGTTCAGTTGGCTATTTCTTGCCTGTCATGAACAAGACCTTAGATCTGATCTATAGCTGTACCAACAGAATGCTTTGAACAAAGGAAGACATGGAGACCATGTAAATTTTTGGATTTTCAGATCGGTGACGTTCTATCGTTAGCTTCCTCCTCAACTTCATTTCTCTCGGTGATGCTGTGCCTCCTGCACTGTGTGTCTCCTGTCTACTTCCTCTAACATACAAGCATGGCTCCCAGCCACCCCTGGCTGCACTGAGCACATGAGAAGTCTTATATTTGCCTTGAGGACTCTTTTGTCTGCCTGGTTCCTTGACAACTAAGAAGATGGTCAGAGATGGGCAATTTTGGCCAGGCATCGGGCAGTCTCTGTCCACAGTGCTTTCTGTTTGCTCATTTTGTTTTGTTTTATGAGACAGAGTCTTCCTGTAGCTCCATCTGGCCTGGAACGCACAGAGATTCATCTGCCTCTGCCTCTCAAGTTTTGGGATTAAAGGTGTGTGCCACCATGCCTAGCCTGCACGTCTTAAACTGAAGACCAATGTCATGTGATAGGTACTTAACATTATTTATTAAACAAATGGTGTTTGTTCACCTAGTTGTGTTATTTCTCTAAGTGAAAATCAATATATAAACATTAACATTTGGCAAAGTAAATCAGACAAGTTATTTTAGTAAAATGATTCTACTATGTACTCAATAAAATGTATAGCTTAACCACTGAGGGCACAAAATGAATATAAACACAACCTGAGGAGAAAGCTACGTATTCTGCCATTGCAAAAAGTCCAGTGGTCTTGAGAAACAGTTTTAAAGGAGAGGTAGGAGACAAAACACGTGCACTCAAAGGCTCATAACATCATTCAAAATTGAAAAGACGGAGTCACACTGGTACGCATCAGAGAGTCCTGGTCATAATAAAAACTGAACAAAAACTTTATATCATGGTCCATAAATTTGGTTGATTAAATTATGCTACATCCATACACTGGACTACTGCAGAGGCATTAAATGATGATGTAAAATGTAGACTTAAACAGAAAGGTATTTATAATATATTATTTTAATTGGGAAAAGTGCATTCAAGAACTGTCAAAATAACCCTGCTTTTATGTAAAGTGCATATATTTATGTGGCCGATACATTTATATTACATGTTTATGTAGTAAGTTATGGAAGGGCACACACAATTTTTATGCTGGGTGGTCAGCTTATTCATCATTTTTACTTTCATAATTTTATACTATTCAGCATTTCTATGATATCCACATTATTACTTTATTTAAATGAGAAACTAACAAATGCTTCCATGCTTATGCAGTACACATGAAATCCATCACCTTTCGGGAAAATCTCCATGTCTGAGTAGCAGTGAGCCATCAGCAAGCTTACCTGAACATCCTTTCACTAACTTCTTCTAACTTGCTGGGATGAGCAGGAACAACTCCAAAGGAACCCAGAGGTTGATGAGTGATAGGAGCTGGACTTTGTTTGGAAGAGAATCCAGCCCTGGCAGGGGTCTCCTTGGGCACAGATGAGAAAGGGAGACATGTAGCCGTGCAAGACACAGACAAGTTGACAACCTCCACAGCCTTCAGGCTGTCCAGGGCAAAGGTCTCTGTGGAGGTCAGGTGGGACCCGGGGATGGAAGTGCCTCCCTTTAGCTCTTGGTTTTTTGATACTTGGGAGGCAATGGGATGAGTCACAGTAGGGCACACAGTGCCGGCTTCATGTTCCTCCTCCGGGGAGGCATTAGGTCCTCTAATCAGTGTTGTGGTACCATTCATACTTGGTGAACCACTTTGTGCACCTGTAGAATTCAGGCTGATGGCATCAATAGCTGATGCACAACTGAATTCAGGCACCTTATGGTGAGACACAGCCCTGACCTCTGAGACATTGCTGTTGGAGAGAGAGTGTTTACTGACACCCAAGCCTTTAGGTTGGCTTTTTGATGTTTCCAGGACTGTTCTATGAAAAGACCTGGTCCTAGGATTTTCAAGTGCTGTGATACCTGGGATTTTTAAGTTAAGACCTTTGGTTTCAATACCTCCTGTGTTCTCAGCCCTGGCTTCCTGACAACAGGGTCCTTGAGGTTCAAACTGGCTCCCTTTACCTTTGGAGATGTCCATGTACCCAGGGCCCTGAGGTCTGTCAGAATCTAAGACCATATCTGCAAGGGAATGGCCTGACCTGGTGTCCTGGACTCTAGAGCCACTACAAGGAGAATTGTGTCCAGGAGAAACTTTGTCCTGGCTAGAAGTTTCCAGGTCTTCAGAGACACCTCCTGGGTCCTTGGTAATTTCAGCAGCATCCTCAGGACTGCTGATTTGGGGTGCAGAGACAGACTTGGTGAGCTTGGTGAGTGCCAACTCCCGCTCCTCCTCCTCAAAAGGTAAAGAGCTGATGGAAGTGAGAGAAGCCTGGATGCCACTTGGCAGACTGGTGTTGCTCTCCGTGTGACCGCCCTCCAAAGAGTTCCTGTGGTGGGCGTGTCTTCGGACCACCTGGTGCAAGACTTCTCGATCACTGGGTAACTCCAAGACCCTGCTTCGAGCCTCGGACCAAGCAACAGAGCTTGGTTCACTCTCAATGCCTGAGTCTGATATGAGGGAGGCTGACCTCCTGATGACCCCCGGGAGCACTGACAGGTCCTCCTGCTCTTCTGCATGAGGTTCCTGAAGGGAAGGCCTGGTATCCAAAGGTTCCCTCAGAAGAGCGCTCAGAGTGTCACAGAGCTGGGCCGGAGTGAGCTTCAGGCTCAGCAGCACCTTCCCCTCCTGCTCCATCCCCCTTCCCAGAGTCCTGAACTCAGGGACAGCTGCTTGGCCTGAAGAGACGTCATTTTGCTGACACGATCCTGTTACCACTTTGCTTGGCACAGTCTTGTCGCGATCGTAGTTGTGCCCAGGGCTCCCTTCATGCTGAGCATTGAGGCCCTGTGTGGGCTTGGCTCTAGGGAAGTTCTTATTGCTAGATTTCACATCAATGTAGATCAGTGCTGGAGTCTGTCCATCATCTGGGCCTGGACTCCTCCTTGCCATGTCCACCTGTACTGGTGAATCTACTCCAACGTCAGGCCGTGGGCCAGTCCAGCCATCACTTTCAGGCATGCCTGCTTTATCCTGGAATTCACCTATGGTCAGGTAAACCTGAGTCTCTGAGCACATGTCCACATGGTTCTGTGTGGCAGAATGCTCCTCTGTCTCTGGATACCTAGTAACCTCGGCATCAGAGCCCAACTGGGGTGGTCTCAGAGTGGTTTCGGCAAGGCCTTTCCCCAAAGATGATTTTTGATTTACAAGGAGATTCTTCTCTTTCCCTTTTAGATTCATTATTGCAGAACTTGTCACTGGAACATCAAAATTAGGGTGAACACTCAAATTGTGCCCTATAATAAGAGAAAAAGTGAATTATAGTTTACCAATCAATATTTACAAGCTATCCAACTGCATAATTGCTTAAAAATAATTTGACAGCCCTCCATTTCGATTTTTCTTTGAAGGGGCATGCCCTTTAGTGCCTTGGAGGTTCTCAAGTGGTAGAAATGCTTTGTTCTTCTGGGGTCCTGACAAGTTGTGTAACCAGGAGATGCATGTTAAAACCCCCAAAGAGATTGTGCTGGTGAGAAAATGAGCTTGGGGGAGTATTGTGGCAAAAACAGGTGACTAGAGGGTTAGGAAACAGGCTGGATACTATCCATCTGACCTCTGGGGAAAGACCGGGCCTAATGCTAATGCCAGTGGTTTACCCAATCCTGTCCACAAAATAAAACCTCAATAAATACTCAAATGAACTCAAAAACTGCTCTGATTGGTAACATGGACACATGTTCCAGGACCAGGCCAAGTCCTGAGAATACAGAAATTTTCTCCATGTATTCTCCCAGGCATCAGCCTGTCGTCTTTCTCCTCTCTCTCCTCTCTGTTCTGTCTTCCTCTCTTACCTCGGTTCTCTCTCTGTCCCTCTCTCCTTCCCTCCCTCCCTCCTCCCCCCCTTCTCACCACTCCAGACTTTTGTTTGTTTGGACAAAGTGTTGATCGCTCATTGCTAATAATAAATCTTTGATCACCAGAACAGCTCCTTCCTGAATTTTGTGAGCCATCCCAGAAAACTGTTGAACCTGAGTAACATGAACCAGAAACACAGACCACCATTTGTCTCTCATGCCTGAAATGAAGTCAGTCTTACCAAAGACAAAGTCTGTAAAGCCAAAGCTGTAACTTCTGAGAGATGTGAGTGCCTGGTGTACAGTGACAGAGGAAAAAGAAAAAACCAGAAACTAGAGAAAAGTTCTCCAATCTAATGATCTTTATTTATCTATAATCTGTAATTCCTACTTAAAACTCCTACTTAAAAGATGAGTATTTTTAAATGTTTTTGATTTATTCTAATTTTATGTGTATGAGTGGTCAGAGGCAAAAGACCAGAAGAGGGTGTCTGATCCCCTAGAACTTGATTTATAGGTGGTGGTTAGCTGCCATGTGGCTGCTGGAAACCCAACCCAGGTCCTCTGCAAGAGCAACCACAGTTCTTTTTTTTAAAAAAATATTTTATTTATTATTTTTATTTTATGTGTATGAGTGTATTGTCTGCACGTATGTGAGTGCACCCGTGTCGTGCAATGCTGCGGAGGTCAGAAGAGGGCTTCGGATTTCCCTGGAACTGGAGTTACGGACGGTTCATAGCTGCCATGTGGGTGCTGGGAATCAAACCCGGGCCCGAGTCAGTGCTCTTAACGCTGAGCCTCCTCTCCAGACCCAACAACTGTGGAATCAATAGGGTTTCTCACCTTCCTCCACTATGGGATGGACTGACCCACAGGAGCCGGGAAGCCTTTCACTCATAGCTCATTACATGAACGGACAGCGCATTTGGCGAGGAGTTCTGCTCTCTTCAGAAGAAGACTATCAGGTTTGAACTCTGTGATCAGGTTCAGCTTCTAGAATCACACTGATCTTCACAGGCTAATGACAGCGATCCAAAGTATGATCTTTTATCTTAGTTTTCTTTAGCTATTTGTTACATGTTATTTGCTTCCCACATACCCACTGCATAAAGGAAATGTTGTGTTTATATTTTCTTGTACAAGTATAAATCCTCCACTGATGGACTTCTAACCTGGTTCCACTCATAGCTACTGCAAAGAGGGTAACTGGGAGCACAAATGTATAAGCCACTCTGGGAGGATTTGTAGCCCTTTGGGGATATGTCCAGACATAATTTGTGTGAGACAGGTAGCAGATACCAGGTCTGTTTTTAAGATATCTACATACTAATTTCTATAATGTTGCACCAGTTTTTACCCCTACCAGCAAAGGAGGCTACTGAGGAGAGGAAGGGGATCAGTAGGGAGTTCAGCAAGGGGGCCGAGGAGGAGAGTAGAGGGAGAGGATCAAAAATCCCCAAACACGTATGAAAATGCAGGAAACGAACCTTTACCTTTACATGCTAATTTAAAAAATTCCAAGTAAAAAGTTGAAAGCTTGCACCTGGCTTTAATAGAAGCTAAATCAATACAATTTCTTTTAGAAGTTATCATGAATTAAACAATAAAGACAATACTTGAAAACCATATGCGGTTTGATACAGGATCATCTGATAACGTCCAGTGAAATTTGCAATTGCCTGAGGGAACAAAGAGCTCTTCCTTACCTAGGTACCTGAAGACACTGAAACCACGTTCTTCTCTCTAAGAGAGCCTTGCTCAGCCTTCAGGAAGCTGGTGTTATTGGTTGCAAACTCCCTCATGTTCCTTCTACGCACGCCAGTGACACCATGTGATGACCCACTTGTTCATCTTGTGTCCCCACGGGAGGGAAGAGCTTGTGTTTTCTCTCTGCAGCACAGAGGCTAACATCATGTATACTACACATTTGATGATTTGTGTTCACAAAATGAATTGAGACAAGAACAGAAATTCAATTCAACAAAAGAAAAGTATGTTCACTGATTGCCTGCATTTTTACCTCAATGATGTTCGGACCCACAAAGAATACACTGGCATGGTTTGTGTGATAAAAAATCTCTCTACTAGACAGTGGGTTGCTTAATAAGATGGTAAATGACATCTGTTACAAGAGTCAACAAGCTTCTGTTGTGATGAGAGTTTCAGAATATTGGGAAACCAGCACAGGTACAACTAGCTCTCTTGCCAAAGTTATGTCTGCTATGGCAACGCCATGAGGAGTGGTTGTCAAGGACCAGGAGACAGGGAGGGGTGGATGCAGGGGCAGAGCATGGGGAAGTGTCAGGGTAGTGAAAGTTCTCTACAAGATCCCATGATAGTGAACACGTACCATTACATATTTGTTCAAATCCATGGACAGCACCAAGAGTGATGTTAATATATCACAGACTCAGGTGATGATGGCTTACCCAATATAGATTCATGAACTATAATATATGATGTTCCTGAGCTGAGGAATTTCATAATGTGGGGAGGGTGTGTGTGTGCAGGCCCAGGGAGGCTATGGGTTATTTCTCTATCCTATTCTTTATTCCTCTGTTGCTGGGAATATAAAAATCACTAATAAAAGAATGACATAAAAATAAGCAAAAAGTAATAAGTGCAATTTTGGCAGGATTTAGGGGGATTGAACTTTCTTGGAAAAGGAGACACTGAGCCTCAGTAGACAAGGGAATTTCTGAAGGAAAGTCAAGAGTTCTGGAGTGTCTTGTCTGACTAGGTCTTGGTGAGCCCCTGAGTGGACAGACAGTAAACAGAAGGGCACAGCACAGTCAGGGTATCTGGGATATGGAGGAACTTGCAAACCACGGGTGAATAAGAAGTGTTGACTTGTGTAAAGAGCAAGTGGTAGATTCTTGGAACAGAAAATATTGATCAGATTTGTCATTGGTCATCAAGACAGAATGCAGGAAAGATAGAAAAATGTTAACAACGTGATGACAGTTAGGTTCTTCATTATACCTGTGAAAGAATGAACAGAGAAAGCATCTAATTCAAAGAGACAGGGGCAGGGCCCACACTGATGGATGGCACCAGGTAACACCCATCGATGCTTGCTTTGCACCTGTCTTACGAAGGGCTCTGCACCACTGCTCACAATAACCATGTGGTTTAGCCTCTTTTCTTTAACTTCACACACTAATTATCAGAGAACAAACTTTTAAATGTAGCCGTTACGTCTAACTCAAATGTCTCAGGACTGGGCAAGGGCTTCTGGGAGAGGGTCTGTAATTTCTGAAACAGAGCAGGCATTCCTGTCACGATACTGAGCACAAACACACGCTATTATATAGGTGGAAATGGAACTCTGCACCCCACTTGATGCCACACTAAAAGCCTGTGCTGCACATGTGTCTGACAACCCCCTGCAATGCAAACGTGCTCAGGCCACCAAATTCTTAAGGAAAGCGGTGGTCGCTCTTCATTGCTAAGGTATTTGAACTTGGATTAAAGGGTCATCAAAGTGCTTTATGAAATAACACAGACATGAAAATCTTTGGGTTCTCAGTGGGGACAATGACAACACTACAAACAAACGTAAGTTCCTAAGACTAGAACCCAGCCCCAGCACAGTTCAAAAGCTGCAAAGAGATCATATGCTAAAATACTACTTATTTCAATAGTTAGCTTTAAATGTCAACCTAACACAATCTACACAAACTTAGAAAGTGGGTATCAATGTGTGATGGTCTACATGGTCTACTTTGGATTGGCTTATGGGTGTGTCTGAGGGGATGGTCATAAGTTAATTGGTGAGTGAAGACCCAAGCCACTGTAGGTGGTAATAATCCCCAGGCAGGGGGCCTGAACTTGTGAGTGGAGAAGTGCATCTGGGCAGAAGCAAGGGAACAACGTGCAAGCCTGCATCCACTTCTCTCTGCTCTTGGCTGTGGACATGATGTGACCAGCTGTGAGAGGCTCCCGCCTTAGCTCCCCACAATGATGGACTTTAACCTGTATGCTCAAATAAGCCCCTTTCTCTCACAAGCAGATTTTTTTAAATCAGTGTCTTTTATCACAGCACCAGACATGAAACTGGGACAGCGGGTATGAAGAACGGATGTTCTTCAAGAGCCAGCCTGGGCAAATGTCCTCAGAAAGGCCTCCCCTGCCATATCTAGTGCTGTTAGGACTCAAAGTGTGTGATATAGATGGAAAGCAGTGGATGGACAAATGAGATGCAGTTTTTCAGCTGATGCCACAGACTAAGAGAGAAAGTGAGTTGAATTAGAAAAATAAAATATATGCTAGAATCACATATGAAAAACTGAAATGTATGTTCACTAGAATACTTCTTGAAAGACTAGAGAAAACATCTACAACAAATTCTGATAGAGAAAATAATAGAGTCTGATAATTGCTTTGGGAGCCCTTAAATAATTCTTTGTAAAGTATATAACTATAAAATGTATGCATTAATGCAATCACATGCCACACACACACACACACCATGCGTTATTTAAAACCTACTTTGACTAGTTGGGTAGGCAGTCAGTATAACCTGGTACATTTTACTTGTCATACACCTGGTTTGACACTAGAGGTCAGAACACACTGGAAACCAAGTTTATGATTGAAGTTTGCAGGGTTCTTGGAAGTCGGCTAGATTTCACACATCGTACCAGTCTCGGGCTGTAGATACCAGTCTCAGGCTGTAGAATTCTGAAACAGCCATTTTGATTGATTCTATAAAATGATAGGCTCCTATGTCTGAAAGGGAATTAAAACACCTCAAGAAAGTGAAAGAGGCTGGGCTCTGGAGTTGAGAAGTTGAATGTTCTTTGCTGACACCCATACTTCCTAAGCCTCAGTTTCTTCCCCTGCAATTGCATGAGAAGATTCACAAGACAAGAGAGGAAGCACTGGGTTAAACCTCCAAAGTGAGGCTTGGCATTTTTGGTCCTAGTTGTGTCCATGGTCATATTGCCGGAGAGGACAGAAAAGGGATTTCACTTCATGTCCAGTCACTGTGGTTGGCCTACAGGTGCACTGAGAAATCGTACATCCATGCTGGATACTTGGACACACGTGGTACATACAAACATTCTATTTTCCTCCAGAAATGAATTGTTCACTCATGAATTACCATAGACATGCACCCCACTTTCAAGTCCTGGGTCTGCCTTGTGGCATAAAGCAGACACTTTTGCTATGTAGTATCAGGCCAGGTTTAGTGATCTAGAAAGACCGTAACTCAAGAAACCAACAAAGTAGAATCCAGTGCTATTAAAGTTCAGTCAGACAGGACTGCTGGTTAGGACTGAGGTAACAAAGGATCGTGTGTGTGTGAGTGTGTGTGTGTGAGTGTGTGTGTGTGAGTGTGTGAGTGTGTGTGTGTGTGTGTGTGTGTGTGTGTGTTTCCCATTCTGTATGTAAAAACATGAACACCAGGCAAAATTCTCCAGAAGGACCAGGAGGGAAGGTTCCTATAACTGCTGTCATTAGACTGATTTGTTAGTGTCACCAAAATAGTCATTCCACACAATTAACTTTACCTTAGGTGTTCTTTCCCCTCTAGGCACTAAGGAAAGAGTTATGTCATTGGCTCTCACAGCTACTGGGACGTGAATGGCCACAGCCAGCAAGCCTCAGGAAAGCCTTATTCTTGAGTCTTTCCAAAACAGCATAAGAAGACAAACCTGTCACAGGGCAATCCACATATCTGTCCTCAAAGATAACGGGCAGGGTGTTCCAGTCACCGTCAATGTCCAGGCACTCTGCGGGCAGCGGGGGCATACTGGTGAGGTACTCTGAGTTCCGGATGTCCAAAGATAGCTGGCTGTGGGTCTGTATCCTGTGGAATACATGAACAGGTGAGCATCCAGACAGCACTGGAAGCTTCCAGTAGAGTTTCTATACCATTCCTACACCAGGAAAGCATCCAGAATGTGTTTAACAGACCCCAGTGATGACCATGCACCTCTCTTCCCATCTACCTACATCAGCTCTCAAAGCCATAGTGTGCTATGCTATGGAACAGGCAGGTGATGGTGTTGGTGTGCTAGATTGAGCCTGGGTAAGATATATACCATAAGCATGATGCTAGTGGAATGCCGAAGTAATAAGTGGCTACCATTCTAAAATTTGTACTTTGGAGGGAAAAATTTAATTTCCTTATCCATTAGTCCAGCATCTCTCACTTATTCTCCTTAACATCTGGGCCATTTTTAAGATGTTCAAAAATTCAATAAAAATAAAAACATACACCTAAATTAGATTTTAAGTAAATGCTTACATAGATACTGACAGCTTTGATTAGTGTGTGAGTTCCCATAATTCAGGAAACAACCTTTTTGTTTATTCATCTCTGTGGTGGTCATAGGAAGCCTACAGTTGTTCTTCACGAACTAAACAGCCCCCACCAATGAGAACTTAATTCCAGAGTCTGAAGGAGCTACTAATTTCTAATCAAAGTTTGGGATGAAATGTGACATTTATTCCCTTCTGGAGTCCCTGCAGAAAGCAGTGAGTTCAGTTATGTTATAAAGAAAATATTAACAACTCAATCATTTTCCCCCAAGGAATAAGAGGGCCTCACGGAACTGTGAGTTTGGGAGGAGAATTGAGCTGGCGTAGCAAGCGTCTGCCTGCATCAGTTGATCTTTATGAGAAGCCTAAACTCTGAACACCCTCAGCCTTGCAGGCCATCTGCCCCTGTCGAGCAACAAGATAATGGATTAACTCTGCACAGGTCCAAAACAACTTCTCTATGCATCTGTCAGACTCAACAAAATAGGGGCAGGTTCAGTACACACATAGGGATGGTATTTATCGTATGCACATTTCACATGAATATGCACTAAATATGAGGAGACATTTTCCCTCTTATCCAAAGCTCTTGATGTTGAAACTGTGTAATTCTGAATGTTCAATTATTTGAATGTTCTTTTCTGGTTATTAAAGTAAGATTTTGTTTCTGTCAGTCTGTACTCTGTCCTGCCACTGGGTTTCTGGGTACATGATGGTATTGCTGGAAGACGATGGTCTCAGAGGAGGTGGACTGAGTAGCATCCTGATCCAACTTCATTGTGGATGGGTACCATCCATAGGCTGAAGGCCTGGATGGACTATGTATGTGCAGAGTGAATACTTCCCAGAATATCTTTTTCCCTTGCCCTTGGGCAGCAGAACTCCAGGTTCTCCAACTTAGGACCCTGGGGCTCACACCAGCACCTCTATTCTTCAGGTTCTCGGGCCTCAGCCATAAACTGAGACACCATCAGCTCCCCTGGACCTAGGGTCTTCAGGTTTGGGCTAAGCATACTCCTACTTTCTCTGGTTCTCCGGTTTGTACAAAGACTACTGTGGGCTTTGTCATTCTGAACCTAAAGTCCACTGATTCAGCTTAGGCTGGCTGCCAGCAAGCTCTAATGATCATCCTGATCCTGTCTCTTCCTCCACAGTGCATGTTACAGGCGCATGCTATCACACCTGGGTTTTTACATGGGGCCTGGGCCTCGGGATGCAGATCTTCATACTTGCATGGAAGTTGTTTTACTGAGCCATCCCCAGTCCCAGAATGAATGACTTTTACAAAGTCAAACAGGCCAGGCGTGGTGGTGCACGCCTTTAATCCCAGCATTAGGGAGGCAGAGGCAGGTGGATCTTTGTGAGTTCAAGGCCAACCTGGTCTACATAGTGAGTTCCAGGACAGCTGGAGCTAAAGGGAGACCCTGTCTCAAAAAAACAAAACAAAACAAAAAAGTCAAACAATGTTAGGATTATCAACACATGTGAAAGTTAAAGTGCTGTCTCAGCTTCCCTGTTATAGAAGTTGACACAACACTATCCACCTCTACAACTTAACATATCTATTAATTTATATGGAGGGAATTTGTTTGGTTTACTGCTCAAATAAAATAGTATTCAGAACATAGCCACAATAAATAGGCATTTTTTGAATGAAGGAATCGCCTAAGGACCAGCTAAAGTTCAGGAATGAGCTTAATGTCATCTATGTGTATCATAAGCTACAGAATCGGGAAATAAAGTATATGTGGTTTGAAATGCTAAGGCCTAACTTCATTTTCAGTTTAAAGGTATGAGCCAATTGAAATTATTATAAATCAGAATTATTTCTGTGGTCCATAGGCCCCATATGGGCTCGCCTCTCCCGCCCCTCTGCTCTCTCCATCCCAGCTATTCAGGCAGTTTTGTAGCTGCTCAAACTGGATGTTCCCAAGTCAGTCCAAACATTAAAGAAGTTATTCCCTCTGCCTAAGGAAATGTCTACCACATCATTACTATAGCTTCAGAGAGAGGCTAAGTGTCATGTCTTGAGAAAGATTTTATCTCATTACTTTATCAAAATGAGTCCCTATCTCATGCAGTTTTGTCTTGAGGTCAGGTGAGGGTGACTTGAAGAAATGGGGCATATCTCTCTCCACTTCGTCATTTCAACTTTTACATTTGATACTTGTGTGGTTAATGAAACTAAATTACTTTATTAGTTTCCTTTCCTGTTGCTAGGACAAAATACCCTGTCAAAAGCTACTGAAGGGAGAAAGATTTGTTTGGCTTACAATTCTAGGCTACACTCTATCACTGTGGGAAAGTCAATGTAGTAGTGGCTTGAAGCTACTAGTCACATAACATCCACAGTCCAGAGCAGAGAGTAATGAATGAATGCATGCTAGCAACCAGCTGGCTTTCTCCAGTTTCATACAAGGCAGGCTTTACTGCCAAGAAATGACGTTCCCCACAGTAGTTGGGAGTTCTCTCCTCAATTTGTGCAATCAGGGTACTCCCCTGTGACATACCCACAGGCCAACCTAATCTAGACCATTTCCCATAAAGACTGCTTTCCCAGGTGACTCAAAATTGTGTCACACTGACAATAAAAACCAAATATCACAACTCTTCCCTAGTCAGCCTGGCACACATCACGTCATTTTATGTCATTATCTTCTATCCCTATTGCAAAGTCCTGCACTAATCACAATATAAAATATAGTCCGACTTTGAAAGTCCCGAGAGGCTTTGAAAATTCAAAGTCTACAAAAGTCTAAAGTCTCTTAACAGTGATCTCCTATAAAGTCCAAAACAGGTTAGATAATTCCATCATACAACTGCGCAGAATAAATATCCTTATTCTAAAAAGGCAACAATTTTGGTTTAGCATGAAACAATCATATCAAAACAAGACCAGAATCTAGCAGGGCAAGCACCAAATTTTACATCTCCCCATTCAGCATCTGGTGCTTATAATGTCATCACCTGGGCTCTGAAAGGCTTGGGTAGCCCTGCTCCCATGGTTGCTGGCAGCACAAACAGATTCTCTTGTGTGCTTGGGCCAGGTCCCCTCAAGGCCTGCAGCATCCCTTGGCAGATATCCCACGGTCCTGGCAGCTCCAGTATCCTGGAGTTTCCATCGCAACTTAGCCTTCACATTGACAACGTCACACAGTGGTCTCCCAGCACCTCTCCTCAGGGATTTCAACCCCAGCCCTGCCACACAGCGCCTGGCCTTGGCTGCTCTCCATGACCTCAAACTTGCATCTTTCATGTCCTCCAGACCAGGACTCCATGGAAGAGACCACTAACGTCTGCTGCCAGGTGGACTAGCACGGCGTGCTTGGACCACATCTCTGCTTCGCCATGATGACCCTCCGGGACACTTCCCTACTGTCCCAAAGCAGAACTCCGGGATTCTCCTCGTTGGTTAGAGACGCTTTGTTACCTTCATTATCTTTGTTTAAAGCTTTAAGTATTCCACACACCTTTCCTTAGTCAAATAAACCTTTAAATTGACTAGTTCTCAAGACATGATCAGAAGAAAGCCAGTTACTGACCAAAATATCCCACAAATAGCCCCTATTTCAGTCACGCATTAGTCCTTACTGGACTCTGAAACGTCATGTGCTGGGTGTCCTTCTGTGCTTCTTCTCTCTGTTTTCCTGTCTTTCCAGCTCTCACCACAACATCCCATTAAGCTCTGCTTGCAGCATCAATAGCTTATCTGACCCAAAGTTCCAAACTCCTTCCCATCCCTCCTACAAAACAGTTCCAAAGGCCCGAAAGCTACGCAGTTAGGTTCTCACCGCAGAGGCCCCGCTTCTCAGCACCAGTCTGTGCTATTCCCCTTCTTGATGCTGTGATAAAATATCTTGATAAAATCAGCCAGAGGAAGAAAGGATTTATTTGGCTTACAATCCCAGTATACACCCATCGTTGTGGGAAAGTCGAGATGTCAGGGACTTGAAACAACTGTCACACCACATCCACAGTCAAAAGCAGAGACCTCTAAATCAGTGCATGCATGCTAGTGTTCAGCTGGCCTTCTGAACTCTTATAGGATCGGATCCTCTGCTCAAGGAGTGACGTTATCACAGGGGTGAATCTTCCCACTTCAACTATCTTAATCAAGATAAGCCCCCAGACATGCCCACAGGCCAACCGAAACTAGGCAATCTCTTCTTAATGCCCCCTTCCTATATGGTTCTAAATTGCACCAGTTTCAAAACCAACCATCCTAACCAGCTCCAGTGGAGAGTAAACTGACAACAGAGAATTAATTTCTCAGGGAATGGCTCACTGCACACCACTGGAGGGAGGAACAGGCTCTCTTCAATTCAGGTTGTTTAAACCTTGTCCCATTAGTACTTGGCACATGTGGCTAGAAAACTTGGAATTCCATGTACACTGCTCAAGGAGAGTGTGATAATTAATTCCCATCATCAATTCCACTGGGTTTAGAATCACTTAGGTGATACACCTCTGGGCATGTCTGTGAGAAGTTTTTCAAAGTTCAGCTAAAGAGTGATGTTCTACCCTGGGTGTAGTACCATCAGTAGGTTGGGGATCTCAGACTGTACAGGGAAATGAGAATTCAGGGTGAGCATCAGCATCTATTACTCGGCTTCCTGACTGTTAATGCAATGTGACCAGTTACCTCAAACTCCTGCCTCTGTGCCTGCCCTTCCAAGGTGACCTATAACCTGTCAGTCTGTGAGTCAAAACAAATCATTTGTTAAGGTGGTTTTCTTTGGTATTTCATCACAGTGGTGAGAACAGTAACTAATACAGAGAACAGTGACCTCTGTGGCTTTCACCACCACATGTGATCACACTTGTCGGAAACACAGCCATGGCTTAAACATTGTACAAACTTTAAGCGTTCTCTACTAGTGTGATGACCTGCAGAAGTTGTTGTTTTACCCTGATTTGCCATGTTTTGTTAAAAGACCCTCAAAGTTATATTTATATTTAACAGAGTTCTTCCAATGCTAGTTTTAGAAAGCATGTCACCCAGTTCCAGCTGAATTCTAGAATGAATGAATGAATGGATGAGTGAATGAATGAATGAATGAATGAGCTGGTAGAAGACTCCAGTGATGTCTAAGCAAGTTACCTTCACAAGCAGATACATTTTCGTTGGTACCCTGTTTGCTTGGAACCCAAGAGCAAACTATAAATGTCCCTGTTCTTTGTGAGCAAAATGGAAGCTGGCCGGAAACAGGAAGCAGATCCATGAAAGCGAAGACTCCAGGTCTGCCGTGTGCAGCTCACAAATCCCGCCTGCCTCTCCTGCTGGATATGCCATGGACTCCCAAACAGGACTGCACTAAGCTTTGGTTCTTGAGGCAAATGTACTGTTCAAAACCAAGACGAAACCCTTGGACTTGTGTGGTGAGGACCAAGACATTTTGTAAAGGACTCAAGGGCGCCTGGGAGGTGGGATGACCCATTTTTCCATCACACCTCTAACTTCCCTGAATATTTTTCCATTTTCTAGAAGAAGGCTCATCAGCCCTGCCAATCAGAAGCTCGGGCTGAACTATTCTTCTGAACACATGCTTTAACTACTGCAGCACTGGGCTTTTCTAAGACGGGCTGTGGCCACTCCACCTGCTTCTGTTGTGCAGTGGACTCAGCACAGAGGACTCTAGAGACATAGGATGTCTTGATTTTGTGTGTAGAACCAGAATGATGTGCAACAAAAGAAAGCTTTGGCTGTCGACCATGTTTGCCAGCCATGACTCCTGCCTCTGCGGTGTGTGTAACCGTTTTGCTTGCACAGGATTGCACACTGAGCTGCAGTGGGGAGCGTGCTATTGGTCTCACAGCAAGAAAGGAAAAGAAAGGGATGTCAGAACCAATGGAGCCGAGTCCCCTGGGAGGCCGTTTTACAGGGAGAAGCACTTGCACAATTTATACTTACAAGTTCTCCTGAAAGGTCAAGACTGCAAGTTTTTGGTGCTCCGTGTAAAAGAATGCTTCAGAAAACCTTCGCACCTAAGGGATAACAATGTTTACAAACACCTCAATTCTGAAGGTCGGTATGACCTCGGGTTTCCAAACTTGAGAGTTGAGTACGGCGTTTTAATAGAGGAAAGCTCTGTCCACATCTGGAGGGTTTCCACTCTCTAGGGCTGCCTACACTCTTTCAGAGCTCTTAACCCAAACAGTTTAGTGTGTGCTTATAAATCCACTTCTTTATTGCTTTCTAGAATTTCTACATTTAGATTTTTAAATTTTTACTTTATGCATATGAATGCGTTGTCTATATTATGTAAGTGCACCATGTGCAGGCCTGGTGTCCAGAGAGACCAGAAGAGGGTGCTAGCTCCCCTGGAACTGGAATTATGGACAGTTGTTAGCCAACCTATGGGTCCTCAGAACCAAACCTGGGTCCTATGCAAGAACAGATAGTGCTCTTAACCATTGAGCCGTCTCTCCAGCCCCTGTATTTAGGTTTTTATTCTTTTTACTGGAATGTGAGATCTTTTCAAACTGTCATAAATAAATGCACAACATACTGAACTTCCAAGGCCAGACACGTGTCTGTTACGCACCTTGTGGACTCCGCTCCTCAGGTACTTGTTCTTCTCGCTGTAATGTGAAGACCTACATCATTCCATATGCATTAATAGCTACGCATTCATTCCTAAGCTGATGGCAAAGAAATACTCTATGGGTGCTGTCTTACATTGAAAACATTTTTTTTTGGCCAGACACGTGTCTGTTACGCACCTTGTGGACTCCGCTCCTCAGGTACTTGTTCTTCTCGCTGTAATGTGAAGACCTACATCATTCCATATGCATTAATAGCTACGCATTCATTCCTAAGCTGATGGCAAAGAAATACTCTATGGGTGCTGTCTTACATTGAAAACATTTTTTTTCTAAGTACTTTTTGAGTAATTTGTAACAGTCCTTTTGATAAGCTCTTCTATCATCAGACATAGATAAAGTGGGTGTTTTCTGAATGACAGAGCAGAGATCTGGTTGGCTAAATGAGTTTATGACATCACACTGATTGTTCACAATTACCTAGGACCACTATTCAAATCTATAGATTGAGACACTCCCGTACTTATTTTGTTCATTGAACTAACTCTTTAAAACTTCCTCATGAGAGTAAATGCATTCAGCTAGATTTGGTTACAACTTACCCTCAAGGTATGATGCTCCTGAGTGAGGTAAGTGGTCACTTGGGAGTTCAGAGTCACTGTGTCCAGGAATTGGGTCCACAGAGCCATCAGATGGGAGGCCAGCCAAGCAAGGTCCTTGCTGATCTGCTCAGCGATCTTCTCTGGGTTGTTCAGCATCTGGAAAAGTAAAAAAGCTATTCATGAAATGTGTCTTTGGGACACTTATTCCCTCTTCAGTTGATTATAGAAATGGCTTCAGGTAACGTTAGAGAGGCTGCTAATTAAGCCAGGGGGGGACTTTCCTCTGCATGCCGACACATGGACCTCTGTAACTATACATGACAGACTTGGAGGGCATTCTGTAGCAGGTGAGGGAGGGGCTTGGCCTGCTAACAAGTCAGCAAACTTGGCTGAGTGCTGACAGTGCTTGGCTGAGAGTCACAGGTGAGCTCTCCAAAGTAAGGCTCAGCTACCTACCTTGACCACTCCCACCACCGTGGTCATCTGGGCTTTAACCACATTCACTCCCTTGTGTCCCTCGCTCTTTGCTCCTTGCTTGTTCTGTGTGACAGGGTGTGCTATACTCTGGGAAGCCAAATAGTAATGTATGCCATCCTGGACAAAACTCTTGTTTCTCTAGTGGCTATGTACTTAAACATAATACACTTTCAAACTACTGTGAAAGATATGTATTTTGAGTGTCATGGGCAGTGGAAGGCTTCCAAGGAAGGGGTGCCCGCACTGCGTCTTCAAGGTGAGCAGGCATTTTGAGCAGTCTTGGTCCTTGAACAAACTGCTCTTTTCAATGCTTTTCCATCTCAGTTGCACATTAGAATCACCGAGAGGCATCTGTCCATCTATCCACAGAAGTCTGGGCCCATCTCGGAACTCTGAGGTGCAGCCCAGACACTAAGAATTTGAAATGCCTCCCACGTCATCCTAACGTGCACTTCAGGGTTGTAACCATTGCTTGACCCCTGAGTCCTACCTTTGTGTGTGTTTTGGATATGAAGTGACCCTCACAAGCTCATGTGCTAAATATTTAGTTCTTAGCTAGTAACATTATTCTGACAGGCGATGTGAAATAAGTTAACAGTGGTAAGACCCAGCTGAAGGAAGCAGAGTCATGCCTTTGAAGGTTAATCCTGGTCTCTGTTGGACCCTCTTTCTTGTGGTGTTTCTTGGTCACCACGATGTGAACACCCTCTACCACAATACTGCAGATTATCAAGGTACTGGGGCTCAACGCAGGCCAGAATTATAGGCTAAAACCTCTCAAAACGTGGCCCAGAATAAATATTTTCTCCTTTGTTTTTCTCAGATATTTGTCACAACAGCAAGAATCTCTGACTAACAGATTACATGTTCTCATCTTTGATAGAATCCCTCCCATTCACACATACATGAGAACAGAAACGCATGTACATGTGTATACTCAGACACCCATGGTATCTACTGCTGTTTCAGAAAGGTTACAGTCCATCACAGTGGGGAAGTCAAGGCAGTACGCATCGAGGCAGATGGCCACATTGCACCTACTATCAGAAAACACAGAGGGATGGATGTGTGGTCCTGTTCAGCTTGCAGGTCCTGTCCACATCGAGATGGGTCGTCCCACATCAATCAGTCAAGACCATCTCTCACAGACGTTCTCAGAGGCAAACCTTAGTAAAGGCAATGCCTCACAGATGTGCCCGGAGATATGCCTTCTAGGTGTCAAGTTGATACTTAATACGGTCGCATGGGCCTGTCACTTGACTCTATCACATACTCCTTTCTGAATACGTATGTGTGTGTGTGTGTGTGTGTGTGTGTGTGTGTGTGTGTGTGTCGTCCCACATCAATCAGTCAAGACCATCTCTCACAGACGTTCTCAGAGGCAAACCTTAGTAAAGGCAGTGCCTCACAGATGTGCCCGGAGGTGTGCCTTCTAGGTGTCAAGTTGATACTTAATACGGTTGCATGGGCCTGTCACTTGACTCTATCACATACTCCTTTCTGAATACGTGTGTGTGTGTGTGTGTGTGTGTGTGTGTGTGTGTGTGTGTGACTAACATTAGATATATGAGAACTGAGGGTTGCAAGACTCTATAGAGAAATCTAATTACTTAAACCCAACCAAAGAATCAGTGCCATTGTTACCAACCCTATTTACAGATGGGGTAACATGGCACTAGGAAACTAATATGTCCAGGTGGCACGATCACAAACTCATGAACCATGTGGGGTCTTCGGCCTACACATTCACTTAGGAGCCCCCACCCTCAAACCCAAGCTTGGGACCCTCACAGACTTTGTCCACAGCAGTGGACAGCAGCAGATGTACACACCCACCTACTACATGACTGGGAATCAACGGGGGCTGGGATAAGAGAAAGTTCAAACGTTTCAGAGAAGATTTTGCCCATTCAATGAAATGAAGGTCTTGTCCCGAGTTCAGTTTGTTGCTCTGGGGAAATGTTTTCTTCCTGATGCTAAACAGAGATTTCTTGGATTTTTTTTTTAATTTTTAAAAATGATTTATTTAATAACAACATACTTAGAAGAAGCATATCATTACAACACAATTGACATATTCAATAACGGTTTCCTGAGGTAGGATGCATCTCTTTCAAAATTGGCTGTAAATTTTTAGGTTTACAGTTGAATTATTACAGTTATACAATATTGTACTCAGTATAAAGGATTTTTCTTCTGCAAATATTTATCAAATTCATAGTACGTTTTGCTGACAGTATCAAGGGCTCAGCCTCTTCACTGCTCCATGAAGGGAGAAGAATGACATACACTGTGACACTTCACTAAGCAGTGAGCAGAACAGAGAGCTTCAACATGAGAAGCTGTGATCCCAGGGGCTCTCAGATCCTGGCCTCTCACAGGGCTCTCTTCAGAGGGAACATGGCAGACTGGTGGGGATTACGTTAGTAATAAAATGTGGATGACAACAGTACAAAGGCCCTGGGGTTAAGAGTCCAGTTTCATCCCAGAGAATTGCTGAAACGCAGGGCGTGTTAGAGGGAAGAAGCACATGAGGGACAGCTGGGAGGGCATCACATGACTATGTGGTATTGCCTTCCGTGCTAAGCAATCAGACTCATCCTATGGGTAATCACAACCACCAGAGTCTGAATCAGGACAGAGCTGTGAGTTTGTGGATGGCCATGATTACTGAAACACTTCTATATGAGATGCTCTGTCAAGCAAAATGTTCTACATCGCTGTCCCACAGGAGCATGCAGTTACAAAAGATGCCCCAGGAGATACAGCAATCCTGTGATGTGGTGCTGGATGTGGGTGTGGATGGGAGGCTCTTTGTGCTGGGGAAGGTCATAGGAGGGCCAAGGGCATGGCTGCCAAGACCCAATACTCCTCAGGACTGATGTTTTTCAATACAGCCAGGATAGTGAGGAAAGTTATACTGCCCATGGGAGGCCCAGGCCCAGCAGGGAGAAACCCTGGGCTCAGCCTCATGAATGGCAGGGCTGGGCAGAGAGGCAGCGAAGGCTTCCTGAATGTCCACCAGAGGGCATCATCACACATGCATTTTAAGGTGACAGACATTTCTTGGAAATTTATTAAAGAATCTCCTGCTCTACTACATACCAAATGAATCAGAACTATACAAGATCTCCATATATTCCTTAAACACATCAAATTGGAGAAATTAGGTATTTGGAGACATAGAGAGGTGTTGTTCAAACCACTTGCCTGTTGCTGAGTTCTGTACCACTGGCAGGCTCTCTATAATCCAAGTTCTCAGATGCCCTGCAGAGTTAGTCCTGGACTTCCATGAGATTGGCTGGACCAGGAAGAAAGAGCTAACAGTGGCCTCGATGATACATTACTGTGTTCAGCAAGGCGGTAGAGAGAACTCCGGGATTCACACTTAATAACTGATTTCTTCTACTTATCATTTGAAAGCAAGAGGAAAGGTGTGTGTGTGTGTGTGTGTGTGTGTGTGTGTGTGTGTGTGTGTATATGTATCGTCCTTCTGGCACCCTGTCATGCTCTCTGCCTCCATGAGCTCAAGGCCAGCTCCTCCATAGCAGGGTCTTGGGGAATCTTCTCTTTTGATAGGGGCTCCCCTTGGGCCACCAGCCTCCTGGGATGCTTCCAGACTTAAATGAAAACCCTCAGTGTCCGTCCGTCTTTCTGGCACCCTGTCCTGCTCTCTGCCTCCATGAACTCAAGGCCGGCTCCTCCGTAGCAGGGTCTTGGGGAATCTTCTCTTTTGATAGGGGCCACCAGCCTCCTGGGATGCTTCCAGACTTAAATGAAAACCCTCAGTGATGGTTAATTTCATTGTTCAACCTGATGAACTCTAGAATCATCTGGAAAACAGATCTCTGGATATGCCTGTGCGGGGCTATTTTGCTCAAGTAAACTGAGGCTGAAATATCTCTCCTACCCCCTGCCAGACATTGTGGATGGGATCCTGGACTATGGAGGAAGTCAATCCTACAACAGCATTCCATCACTCTGCTTCCGGGGGATGTGGTGTGATTGCTGCCTTGAGCTCCAGCGTCCATGACTTCCCCAGCATGATGGATGGTATAAAGCCTCCTGTAACTGTGAGCCAGAACAAACCCATTCTCCTTCCAGGTGTTTGGATAGAGTATTTTATCACAGTAACAGGGAAATCACCTAAGACTCTCTCTTACAAGAGGCTTGGCCAAAGCCAACAAATGGAGGAAACAGAACAAAGCCCACAGACCGTGCTGTGGACAACCTAGTTATTACTTCTTGCTAGGAAGAAGCAGCTCTGGGAAACACTATTGAGAACTGAGCATTTCCCCAAGAGTTTACAGGGACAAGTAGAGAACAATATTTATATTTTAGAGAAATCTGTATTTCTTCAAAAAATTGTCAGCAAAACAAACAAGGAGCATTACTTTCCAGTGTGACTCTGCAAGTGTCCCAAGACCCTTCCCAGCCTTGAGAAGGAGCATGCTCCCCTTTCTGATGAACTTGTACAGGAAGGACCTCAGCACCTCCTCGGCCTGAGCTACTGCCCAGCTTTCCTGCCTGATACCTGCATTTGGCTTCCATGTTCCCCAGGCTACAGCATCACTAGTAAATGTGCTCAGGTGTGATTTGGGCATCGCTTCACTCTGCTGTTACCTCGCTTGCATGGCCCTTCCGTCCATGGTGTCTGAGACCCCTCTTCCCTCCTTCATGAAACCTTCACGTCCCAGCCAGAACCAGGCCCTCCCCGCTGCCCTGCTCCATTAACCCTTGCTCATACTTCCTAGTTCCAACACCTACTCTATAGCTAGATTCTGCCTCATCACAGAAAAAAAAATACAGTTCCTCACCAGGCTGCAAGTCCTGGGTGGGCTTTTCCGTGTTTGTATGTACAAGTGTCTGTGGTGGTAAGTGAACTGTGAACTGTGCATAAGAGAAACCTAGTAAACATTTGTAGGCTTCTCACACCAAGTAAAGATGTATCAGAAGCCCCTCCTCCCATCCCCTCCTGCTGGAGATCGATGGTTCTCCAATGCCTTAATCACCTGAACTGGCCCAGCCCTCCACCATCCACAGTGTCCAGGCTGGGATGAACACATAGCTGCTGCTCATTTCTTGCCATGAGGTGGCAATGTTTGACTTCTAACCAGACTACCAGTCTGTGGCATCACTTGAGAGGGTTACTACAGAGCCACTCCACTGCAACCAGCCTTCAAGAGAAGCTAGGGAACAGAGCAATGCTCACCCCTTCACCCTCCCACCTTGACCTTCATGCCTCTGCATCCCCTATACAACAAAATTCTGCAGGAAATGTGGTTACAAAATGAATCCTGTGGCAACAGCAGAAATGCTAAATTTAGGAGGTCACAGACATGCATACATACACACATACACATACATACACACATACACATACATATACATACACACATTTATGCATATATACACACAGACATACATGCATGCATATACAAATATACATACACACATATACACACACATGCACACATACATACAAATACAAAGACATACACACCTATATACAGATACACACATACATACAAAAACAAGCACACAAACACACACACATATGCATATACACAAATACACATAGATATACAGATACAAACACACATATGTGATTTCCCTCTCTTACCCACACTACTAGATACACAAACATCCTGTGAATTTGTAAGTCACAACAGTGTGTGTCTGAAACATACTTTGTAAGCACAAGCTTGGCAAGTGCATACTGTTGGCTTTGCAAAGCTACAACCAGGTCCCCGCCATAAGGTCGACACGGTTTTTCCTGTTATACAGGACTTGAGTCATCCTTCTCCAGCTAAAATCTAAAAAGTGAGAAGAGCACACTCTTTCTTTTAGAACCCGTGGGAAAGCTGGTCCTCTTGCTTCCCAGCTTTTAGTTGTGTGCTTGCTTGCTTTGCAGACTATTACAGACCCACGACTAGCTTCACTGCGAACAGTCCCTTGGGCCTTCGGGCCATCTGGACTGATAGTTTATGTTTCCAGGGATCTGGAGATACCTTGTCTTGTTCTGTGGGTTGAAGCCATCAGCCCTTTCACTTGAGTGTGCACAGTGTCCAATGCATGACCTCTTAGCATTAGCAGACTCTATGCATACATCATACCAACACTGTCATTTCTGAACCCACCTCCTTAGAACAGCCATGAAGCCCAGTTGCATCTTTTCAAACCATGACTAGCTTTCCTTACTGTCAGTCAGCTTTCTCAAGGTGGCCTCAGACCCTTTCTTTGTTTATGGAATAGAAGCCTCTCCTCCCTTCCTCAGGGAGAAAGACTTGATGGTCCCACCCAAGGTCACAGTTGGTGCCTGTGGGTCTGAGTCTACTCTTTCTCTTTGGGAAAACTTGTGACTTCAGTGACTGGCATGCTGTGTGGCAGGCAGAACTGGCTTAGTCCAGTACTGTAATTTCCATCCTTCAGACTCAGGGTCAGCACTGTAATTACCTGTAACTCTGAGCACAGCTGAGAAAGTGTTTCTTCCACGGCCAGGGCCTCTGGAAAGGAAGAACAGAGATATACAATTAAAGAGGTAGCAGTGAAATGCTATCATTACTAACCAAAAGAAAACGTCTACATTTCAAGCTCTAAATATTAAAATCAGAGACAAACAGAACTCCACAGGAATGTCCCAATACGTGATCTAACTGCCTAGAGGGAGAGGCCTGTAAGAGAATCAACCTCATTGAGGATGGTGGATTGTGGCATGCATGTGGATTAAGTGCTAGATAAGATCAATGTGGACTCCTGATTGCAATTAAGTGAGACGATTGACCCCTCAATTCATATAGCAATTTGTTTTCCCAAAATGTTTCTTTTTTTAATCTGTGCTTTTTCAGATGGCTGTACAGATGAGTATACACACACACACACACACACACACACACACACACACACAC